TTTATTGGGCTGTGTCTCAATTAGGTCAATGATACAAGACCCAAGTATAAACTGAGTAAACTTAAACCACCAAGATGTTACATTTCAGTCGGTACAAAAAATTTAGCTTTTCTGACTTAAACCAGGGATAGATTTTGATCTGTTTGGGGTAAATGGTGGCTATTCATCAAAATGACATATACATGCAAAGCTCAATTGAGTATACATATATTGAAACTTCAAAAGTGTCTACCTATATGTATGCACATATATATATTCAGTGGAGCTTTTGGTATCAAGTGAGTTAGATGTTGTTTGTGGGTCAGCAGGTGAGGTGTGTAGGGCACTCGTCTTGAATGCCGCTGACCTGGACTCAATTCCAGGTACCCCAGATGGCCTTGAAGACCCAGCAGGAATTATATGTGAGCAAAGATCCAGGAGTACTCCCTGAGTATTTCTGGATGTGGCCCCCAGACCCATGTACGTTCATTGTCAAGCACCTTGAGTCCAAATACCAAGTCACAAGTGACATGTGAAAGCCAGACTTTAAAAGCAGCTTGAACCCCGGGTGCATTGCCATTCTGAAGCTGTGTTGGTAGCTGCATCTTATCTTCATGAGGAGGGAGATGGGCATCAGTTCTTGTCGAGAAAGCAGTTCCAAGCCTGTTCATTCCAGCAAATGGAAAAACAGCCTCTCCACACCCCAAACTGCTGCACTGACTGTGTGAGAGAAACCGAGAGGCTGGTACGCAGAGCCCAGTGTGGCCTTCACGGAGCTCTGCAGCTTCCGGGAAGGGTGTTTCTGTCTCGCAGTTACTTCGGCTTTTGGGAAAGAGATGGTCTCAATACTTACCCTCTTTCCCCTCTAGGTAGGCCTGACAGGACTGTGACTGCTGCTACTGAGGTGTAGTAATGCCGTAGTTCTGAGTAGTTCTTTTTTTTTTTCACTTTTTTTTTTTTCTGGAGGTCTTGGGACTCACATGCTAACTTGTTTTTGTTTGTTTTTTTGTTGCTTGCTTTTTGGGTCACACCCGACAATGCTCAAGGGTTACTCCTGGCTCTGCACTCAGGAATTACTTCTGGCGGTGCTCGGGAGACCATATGGGATTCTGGGAATCGAACCCGGGTTGGCTGCGTGCAAGGCAAATGCCCTCCCCACTGTGCTATTGCTCCAGACCCCACTGAGTAGAAGTTCTGACAACAGTCCGCAGAGGACACGGTAACCGGGCAGGAAGTCCTCCTGCTCACTGCCCTCTCAGCCATGGGACCCATCCCACATTGACTCTCTCTGACTAGGGAAAGCCTTGACAACTTTCATGTCTCCTTCATTTCTGCTCTGCAGCTACTTTTTTGCTTCACGCTCATTCTCCTTTCTACTGCCTAAAGTTTGCCTTAAATGTCCCCTAACACATGAGGCTGACCGAAGACTGTCCAAGCTGTAAGGCTGTTACTCAACTTACATTTTTCCGTTTTACGATTTTTTAATGCCTTTCTTCGGTAGAGATAGAGGGGATAGGGGGAAGTGTGAATTTGAAAACAGATGTTTGGTTTCACGTAGTGAAATCCTAACCTGCCCAAGTCTGTAAATGCTTGGAAACGCTTCCAGGCTCAGTGCTGTGTCCTTCATCCCGAGAGCACGGGAGGTTCTTCTCTGTGATTCCTTCTTTGTTTTCCATCCCCTGTTAACAATTCCACCTCACCACTTCCCTATTCATTACATTCTTGCACCTCACTGGGTTAATAAATTCTTTTGACACCTACTGCCTCTCCCTTCCCTTGCTACTCCTCCTCCAAGAACGGGCCCATCAATATTGCCTGGCAGGGGTGTGCTGGGTGAGCTCGGGTCTGACAGCTTCTCGGCCCAGCAGGAAGTCTTCTCCGTCCTGTTCCAACTCACTGATGAGGAGAAGCCTCCTCCGTCTGCCTCCAGCACCGGCTGTGACAGCAGACTGAGAGACAGATGTTGCCAGTCCCACGACAGCGTGAGGGACACGGGAGTGTCCTTCCTTAAAAGTGTAATGTTCGCTTCTCAAAACGCACTTGCAACGACAACAAAAAAAGTTACCCAAGTCGTTGCTTTCTGCACCGTCTACCTCCTCTTAAGGAAAGTAGAATTAAATGTAAAATAAGGTTCCTCCTTAGAGCAGAGAGTGTAACGCAAGCACGGACCGAAAACTAGAGCTTTAGTCGTGTTCCCAGAGAATGAAATTCGAACTGAAAGGAAGGGGGACAGGGAGAGTTTGCAGGGCATGAAAACAGGAGGAAAGGGGGTCTTACCTCGGTGTAGACGAGTGTGTTTACTTAGCATGCATAAATGTATGCAACACAGGATCAGCTTATTCAGTGAAGATGCACACACTAAACACCAAGGGAGATCATTATTTTTTTTTCTAAACAGAAAAAAAAGAAAAGGCCCTAAGTTGGTGAGAGCCCAGTGAACTTTTCGATTGGGAGAATAAACAATGATAGGAAAGGACAAGCCATGTTTGACTCGAGTCTTGAGAACTGATGATATTGGCCACCGTGGAGAGATACCTAATGTTTCCTCTGACTTGTGAGCTGCCAATATGCTGCCAGCTTGTACTTGTCTGACAACTCCTGGGTCTGAGATAAAGGAGAGGTTATTGCTGAAGAAGTGACATCATCTCGAAGCTCATCATTTTTGTGCCATATCTTGAGCCCAGTTCTGAAGGGTGACACCAGGTGGGCCAGATGGCATCTGTGCTTGGGATGCATTCAAGGAAAGAAATGCCGGCTTTAGGGAGCCAGAGACTTTTATAACGGGAAGGAGACAGGCCAGCCCTATCTGCCCAGAGATTGTCACTCCCTGCATTTTCCCTGGCAGTCATTTGGAGAGCCTTGTAAGGACCGTCAAGATTGTGCAGAAACGAGAGATTCATGGAGAATTGTCATCCAAATATTAGTTTTAAAATAATAGTTGCTGCAATTTCCTGAGCGTAAAATCAGGGAAAGCCATAGATAGGACTAACGTGTCAGTGCTGTGGTAAGTGGTATTTAAGCCACAGAGAAAGAAAGACTAGAGAAATTCCATTTAAGTGGCCTTCACAACTATGAAAGAATTTTGCATGTCCTTTATAATACCGACATGAATGAAATGGATAGCTTTGAGTTGGATAATATACACCAAAATATATTTGTGTTTGGCAGAACTAAATCAGTTAAAAGTATCGACATCACACTGGAGAGAGTTCAGGTGGTATTCTTGCAAATGTCTCTCTTTGCTCCCTTCTTGTATTAAAGAGTTGGCAGAGACTGAAATGACAACAGAAAAATAGGTGTATCTGATTTACAGAGAGTGGAGGGAGTAGCCAATATTTGGAGAGAAGACACAACTTTAGGAAATAAATGGTCTGAATTTTTTTCCCTAACACTATTAAGGTCAAATTAAATTAAATAGGTAAATGTAAATTTCTTTATATAAGTTCAAAAGCCATCTTAACAACTGCATAATTGTACAGATTAACCTGAAAGCCTTTCGTGTTAAAACTACATAGACTGTTAATTTAACAAATCCTTTCACCTTCCTAAGACTTTATTGTCTCGTGTGTGTGTGTGTGTGTGTGTGTGTGTGTGTGTGTGTGTGTGTTTGGGGCTACACCTAGTTGTGCTCAGGGTTTACTCTTGACTCTGCACTCAGGGATTACTCTTGGCGGGCCTTGGGTGACCCTATGGAATGCCAGGGATGGAAATGCTTAAGTCAATTATTTCTGTCTTTTCATCTAAATTAGGCCTGCTAAATAATATTTATAAATACTTGATTGAGAATAATCTAAGGAAACAGTTTTTTGAGATATATATGATATATGTATAGCTGCATATAGCAAACTAAATTTAAAAACTTTTAACCTATGTCTATTTGAGTTCTGCATTTATTTCCAGATGCTCCACTGTAGTGAAGATGTTGAAAATTAACATTCATCCATATGTAAACAGGGATAAAAATCAAGGGAGGTATCTGGAGCACAAGATGTTTTAGTTGAAGTTGAAAAGATTATTAAAAGATGAATTGGTTTGGGATTAAAAAGTATTTGAATCTATAGAGAGCTTCAACAACCTCTAAATGTTTGAAACCAGTTTTTGCCAAAGTGAAAAGGAAGCAAGTCTCAGATTCCTAGAGGAAAATGTCGAGGTGGCACGGGTCTGCATTCTGAGACCATTATTAGGTGACGATCAGGAGACGTGTCTCTCACCATGATGCATAGGTCTGGAGGCCTTTCCAGCACAAGATTCTGTAGAAAGATTCCTGATCTGAATGAGAGGGAGTCCCAGCCCTTCCTCTCTATGAGGACCATAGAAATAGGTTGGCTACACCCTGAGGACCACACAGCAACTGGAAATTGCTTCACACAGTGACTGTGTGGTCCATCCATCCACAGTGTTAAATGCAGTCTCCTAAAGGCAAACACTCCAAGACACCTAAAGGGGTTTTTCCCACTCGTTTTTTTCTGAACGTGAAGTAAGAGATGTCGTGCTCGAGTGCTGAAGAAACACAGTCCTGTGCTTTCCTGGTCACCTTGAAGAGAAAGAATCTATCGCAACTTTGAATCCTTCCTGAAAGTCTTTGGAAGTACGTTAGCCCCACATGTCTTTATTTTGAAGTGACTTTTAGAAGCATTTTTCATGTGAAACCCTAACAACACAGATGTAGTTAAAATAACCCAAGAGCTCAGTGGCAAGTGTGATCAGAGGAAATGGTTACAGAACCTTCCAAGGCCTCTTTCCTTCTCATTCCATCCTCAAAGTCCGGGCGGGAATTCAAAGGACGCTTGGAGAGGCGATGTGTTTCTGAAGGAGGGATCAGACCTGGGTGTTTCCCTATTCCCACGGGGCCCTCCAGCCGCGAGATCAAAGCCGTGGTGGTGTACAGAGCACATCTTCTCCTTTAATCCTGACGCGCCCCCTCCCCATGGAAGGTTCAGTGCCAAATTCCACGGAAACTCTGTGTACGCAGCATAGACCCTTCTGCCATGCTCTGACGCCCTTCTGTTTTCTCCCCCAAGGCCCCCCGTGGAAGAGACCCAGACCCTACTGACCCCCGTGGTGAGCTGCGGGCCTCCTGGTGCACTGCTAACACGCCCCGTCATCCTCACGGTACACCACTGCGCCGACCCCAACACCGAGGACTGGAAGATTCAGCTCAAGACCCAGACGACCCAGGGACAGTGGGAGGTGAGCTGTAGCTGGGTCAAGATGCAGGGAAGCGGGGTCCACTCTGTGAAACTGCGGCCATCCCAAAAGGCTTCAGTGCTGAAATGTAACGTGGGTAGACCCTAAGCTTGTACCGAGAGAGCGAGAAACAAAGAGAGAAGAAAGACAGAGGAGGATGTAGGGGAAAGAGATAAATAGATCGGTGGATATGTTCCTGAGCGTTTCAGACCCATAGCCACTGCAAAAAGGAATGCTGATTGAGTATTAGCTGGCTCCTCAGGACACACGTGTGCATGCAGTTCCTCTTTGTGAGTAACGTGTACCTGTGTCTTGGGAGAGGGGAAAAAAAGATCAGATTGCTTTAGTTTTCAGGTACAGAAGCATTGTACTTGGATTAGAAAATGTTAGGCATTTACTTGCACACAGGAACAAAAGCATAGATCTTTGGAGCCTATCCCAGAAAATTAAGCAGGGGTGCAATTACTAGGTGTCTTGTGACATCTTCATTTTTACTCGGTGGCTGTTGCTATTCACCAAGAGTGCCTTAAACTGAGCATGTTTTGTCCAACAGTTATTACTTAAAATTAAGTATGAAAGAGCATGCTATATTTACCATGAAGAGTTTATGCCCTATACATTAAATAATAATATCCCATTATCTCTTAAATAATCAACTATTATGTGAGTGGGGGAAAACAAATTAAAAGTTATATAATTCTCTGTTAAGCAAAATTTGCAAATATATTTTGAAAAATATTCATTTTTAAACTGCCTTTTATATTATTGTGTATTTTTTACAAATAGAGATATCCAGTCTATGTAGTCTATGCTTTGTGATTACTTATGGTATTCTTACTTTATAGAAGTTTTTAGGAGAAAACAAAGTTTCAAGGCCATTTTGGGAGAAATTTGTAGTGGAATTTTAAGAATTTTTCTTTCTCTAGACATGTTTCCCTCTGGGCCACATGAGGGATTGCTTCTCTCAGACCTGACTTTTAGGACTAAAGTCTCAAGATAGATTTTATGTTGAGACCAGGTTTAATCAGGCATCCTTGTAATTGCATTTAAACTTAAAATGATGCACTTTGAAAAGGTCCCTGAGTTTTAAACTGATTTGATCCCAATTTGTTTGACAGATAATGTCTCACACCATGTCTCTCTCTAGATGTGATTAGTAAGAGTAACAATGATCATAGTCATACATATATATGGTTTGGGGGCCACACCCGGCAGTGCTCCAGGTTACCCCTGCCTGTCTCTGCACTCGGGGATCACTCCTGATGATACTCAGGGGACCATATGGGGTGCTGGATGTCGAACCCATGCACCAGGCACTCATCTTAGCCACAATCCTATCTCTCCATCGCCTTTGAATCATATTTTTAAAGGCATAAGTACAATAGACAAAGCTGATTCTGACCTTTGTGTCCTTGTGGCAGAGACTAGGACATGAGTCACTGTCAGCCATACCCCCATGCGGGTTCTCTTTAACGCACTCTCACTCTGACTCTGTCTACATCCATCTTGTGGGAGAAAGCAGGACAGGTCCTGCGTCCTTGTGTTGGGTCCAATTTGAAGTACCAAGCTTCGTTCTCTCTTCTCCCGTTGATTTTGCTCTGACTGTTCAGATGTGTTTTCTGCAAGCAGCAGAATGTTGGGTTCAATTTTCTGATCAATTTTGCCAATCTGTGTCTTTTCACTGGTGCGTTTAGCCCATTGACATTGAGAGAGATTATTGGCGTGGGGTTTTGTCCTATATTTCTTCAGGAGTTTGGTGTGTTTGAGAGACTTGTCTTAAAGTAGCCTGTAGTTTTTCCTGTAACCATGGTTTTGAACCAATGAAGTTCCTGAGTTGTTGTTTGTCTGTGAAGCTGTGTGTTGTTCCTTCAAGTATGAATGAGAGTCTAGCTGGGTAGAATACTCTTAGTGAGGCGTTCCTTTCGTTGAGGTTTTTCGCTATATCCCCAATTGTCTTTGGGTCTGGAGAGTTTGTCAGGTAAGTCTTCCGTGAATCTTAAGGATGCTCCTTTTTAAGCAATTCTCTGCTTTGATCTTGCTGCTTTCAGAATCCTATCTGTGGTTTTCGTCATTCTGATTAGGATGTGGCTTAGAGTATTTTATTTGGATTTCTTTTAGTTTGCACCCTTCGGGCCTCCTGAACCTGGGTGCACACGCTCTTCAGCTCTGGGAACTTTCAGCAATGATGGTTTGAGCAGTTGCTTCTTCATCAGGGTTTTTGTCCCTCTGGGCCGCCAATGAGTTTGTGGTATTCCTTTTGGCTTCATCCTGATTTTCTCTTGATATCTGTTGGTTTATGTTGAGGTTCTTTTCCATTTTCTGCTGTTGTCTGGAGATTCTCAGCACCTCATTTGGAGCTCGCTGATTCTGTCCTCAGTCGCCGTGACTCTCATGCTGAGGCCTTCCAGTGAGTTTTTCATTTCACCTACCAAGTTCTTCTTCTTTTTTTTTTTTTTTTTTTGCTTTTTTGGGTCAACCCGGTGATGCACAGGGGTTACTCCTGGATCTGCACTCAGGAGTTACTCCTGGCGATGCTCAGGGGACCATATGGGATGCTGGGAATTGAACCCAGGTCGGCTGCATGCAAGGCAAATGCCCTGCTAACTCTCCAGCCCCCTCCCCTACCAAGTTTTTCAAGTCTGTCATTTCCATTTGTATTTTTGTATTTTCCTCACTTCTGCTCTCATCCCTTGTATTTTATTGGAGGTGCATTCCATTGCTTCTCTGAGCTCCTTGTGCGTTCTTCACAGCTCCACCCAAGTTCCTTATCTGAGAGGTTGTGTAGTTCCTTATTACTGTCTGGCTCCCCGTAGCGACTTCACTCACTAACCCTGGTGAGTTTCTGCATTGTTTTGCCATGGTGACCTTGCGGTTTGGAGAGGCTTCTTGTGTGTTGCGGGGGGCTTGGGCCCCTGCAGTTCAGCTGTTGATTCTTTTGCTTGACAAGCAACCACGGGTGATGAGCCAGCTCCACTGATACTCACTGTAAGAAAGCAGAACAGGTCTAGCCGTGTCTCTTCAGGGAAAGAAGAGCCAAAGGCAGGGGCTCCTGGTTCTTGCCCGTTGGTTTTATTTTTCTCATCTGAAATCTTTCACTGAGTTAAAAGCTAGAAATGTTCCTGTAAAAGTCTGGACTCCTGGCTTCTCTTGAAAACGCAACTACTTTTTTCTCCCTGGTTCTGTACTCCCGGGCTGCTTCAACAGAACGAGGCCCAAAGGAGCCTTTGATCTGGCTTTGCTGATCCATCACACACACTCTCTCACCCTTCAGAGCATGTGCTGAACCCCGTCCCGATGGCCAGGAAATCTGTGCGACTGCGACCCTGAGTTCAGATCCTACCCTTGACCTCTAGGAGAGCTTCTGGGTGGTCTGAGTCATTTGGCAAAACAAAAGGTGGTTGAATGAATAGCTGACCTACCTCTAGGCTCTGCTTTTCACCTACCTCTAGTTCCATGTTTTCAGTGTCTAAGAGGTTGGCTGTTTAAAATTTTATCTGAGAGATAACGAAAGAGTATGGATAAAGGTACAGACTTAACATGCTTGTGCTCTCTTTAACATCCAGCAGCCGGATTATCCAGTCGATAGCGCTGGTCGCTATGGGAGACAGTTGGCAGGTAGCTTTGGACGGTGTAGTAGAGTGATCCTGCATATCATTCATTTCTCTGTGCTCTTCACACTGCTAGAGCTTTAGTAAAAAGTATATGCTATAATGTCATTGAAATAAAGCCGTTCTTTCGGATCCAATAAGAAATTTAGAGATCAGAAGACTAAGGAACTAGTACAGCAGATGGGGCTCTGGCCTCGCATGCACACGACTTAGGTTTAATCCTCAGGACTTCACACGGGCCGCTAGGAGTGATCCCTGAGCACCACTGGGTTTGGCCCCAACATGAAAAGGAAAGAAAATTAGAGCATTAACTTATCCTATGTAGTTCAAAAACTCAGGCACACTGGCGTTTAAAGAAATGATTCATGAATTTTCAAAATTGATTTCGATTCCCATAATGTAGATTCTTTGGCTAAGAAAGCATGTTGACTCAAGGGCACCTGCGGGAAGCTCATTCCCTGGATGAAGCCGGGAATTAGGGCAGTCGTCACTGCTGGGTGGGGCAGAGGGGAGAGGGAAGGACAGGAGATGCCAGGCCTTAGATGGGTCCTGCCCGCCAGCCAGCCTTCCTCTCCCCGTCAGTGGGGCCTCTGTGGCTCGGCCCTGACCGTCCTCTCTCGTCCTCCAGGATGTGGTGGTGGTGGGGGAGGAGAACTTCACGACGCCTTGCTACGTCCAGCTGGACGCTGAGGCTTGCCACCTGCTCACGGAGGACCTCAGCACCTACGCCCTGGTCGGCCAGTCCACCTCCAAGACGGCCGCCAAGCGCCTGAAGCTGGCCATCTTTGGGCCCGTGTGCTGCTCCTCGCTGGAGTACAGCATCCGTGTCTACTGTCTGGACGACACCCAGGATGCCCTGAAGGTAAGCGTCCCGCACCCCAGGCCCAACGTGCCCACACGGAGCAGATGGGTTCGTGGGCACGCACCCGTCCACGTGAGCGTTCGCCAGGCTTTGGCCTCGCAGGAGGCACTTTGACGGAACGCAACGTTTCTCTGAGGCTGTGCAGATCCATGGACTGTTTCCGTTGCGAGAATCCCTCCCGTGGGCTACTTCTGTTTACCTTCCTTGATTTCTTTTAATGAAAAATTTAGAAGAAGTGGAAGAATTTGGCAAGGAGAGCCAGGGAGGGTAAATAATCTGCTTCCGTGTTTATCTCAGCTGTGCTCTTCCCCCCTCGGCATAATTGCTCGGGCTATGTCCCTCCTGTGTGCGACTTCATTTATATGCTCCCCCATTCGTTTTACGAGGACGGGGAGGAAGAGAGTGAGCATTTGACAACAGGCTGCTGCTTTGCAGAATAAATGAGCTTAATTGTCAGCGCTGTTATTGCCATCCATTTGATCCCATTCGAAGCTTCAGAGGAACGCGTGCATGCTTTGAAGAAGTTAGATGGAAGAGGAGGAGTAAAAGGACCAAGGGACAGAGTGCGTGGAGGCCCCAAGGAAGAGTTTGAGTTTCTCCTGACATTTAGGAGAGGGAAGCGTTTTGGAGTACTTTGGAGAGAATCTGAAGAGGCCCTAATATCTGTGAGGGCCTTAATGGATGCATGGCGTAGGAGTCCCACACAAAGGGGGAATAATTCGGGTGTTTAGGTGAAAGGAGTGGTGTGAGGGTACACAGATGGGCAGTGAATCCGGCTCTGTGTGGGCAGGTTCTGACGAGCAGCCTGTGACAGGCAGGGGAGAGACCCACGATCCGCGATTGTGCTGCAGAGGCAGCAGCTGAGGCGAGGTTCTAAATGGTGGAGGGTCACTGGAGAGACTTAGGGAGAAGGAAGACGTGTCTGGGTATGCATGTGAGGAACATTCACAATCATGGTCACAATCCTCCCATTGTTCATCGATTTGTTTGAGCGGGCCCAGTAACGTCTCCATCGTGAGACTTGTTGTTACTGTGTTTGGCATATCAAGTACGTCATGGGGAGCTTGCCAGGCTCTGCCGTGCAGGCGAGATGCTCTCGGTAGCTTGCTGGGCTTTCCGAGAGGGGTGGAAGAATCAAACTCGGGTCGGCCATGTTGGCTGCATGCAAGGCAAAAACCCTACCGCTATGCTATCGCTCCAGCCCGTGAGAAACATTTCATTCATTCATTCATCATCCTGTTATTCGTCGATTGCCTCGAGCAGGCCCCAGTAACGTCTCTTTCGTCCTAGCCCTGAGATTATATTCAAGGCTCTTTTAGGAGAATGAGACCCATCATTGTTACTGGTATTTGGCATATTGGGTACGCCACGGGGAGTTTGCCAGACTCTGCCCTGTGGGCAGGCTACATTCGATAGCCTGCAAGTTTGTCCAAAGTAGGAATGAGATAATAAGATGTCATAAAAAGGAGGAACATTATGTGAGGAACATTATGTGAGGAATGTGAGGAACATTATGTGAGGAACATTATGTGAGGAACATTATGCTAGAAAGATAATAGAAATATATGTTTCTGGGAGCTTCATGTATGCAGAACAATTTAAAAAAAAGAGTTAAAGGTGACTCATGTCATCTTCACAAACAAACAGCCCTGTCAAACACCTGAAGTGCCGTTATGCCCATCCTGCAGACGAGATGTCCAGGCAAGGGTGATAAGGAGCTTCCCGGAAGCCTCCTCCTGCAGCGTTGGCGTGGGGGGGGTGGGGGGGGCGGGGCTGGCCTCATGGGGGGAGGGTCTGAGCGCAGATAGGACTTTCCACATGGAAATGGGTGCTGGGCAAAGTCGGGCCCTTAGCAGGCCGAGGGGGTCCCTGCTGTTGCAGGCTGAAGGCTGCGGAGAGGACCCACAGAGGGGTGGGTGCTGCGAGGGGGGACGCAGGGCAGAGCACGCCCAGGGCAGGGAGGCAAGTCTCCAGAAAAGCAAGCTCTTTCCCCCCCCCCCAGCGCTCTCGCCCAGAAGCAGTCTGGCTCACGGAGATGGAGAGTTGCAGGATGGGCCCAGGAAGGGGCCGGACACCCTCCGTCGGTGGATCTATTACCATTATCATGATTGTAATGATTATTGAGGTTCTGCGATTTCCAATAGTTGATAATGGTTTCTTTGCTCACAATCCCATCGCCACAACCATCACTGGTGTACCCACATCCCTTCCCTAGGGACCCCAAAGCCTCCCACGTTCAAGCTCCTGTGGCCAGTGACATGGTCCCTCAGCTGTGTGGATCAAGTCCCTTGTTTCCTCCGTTGCTTGTATCTCTGAGTCCCACATGTGGGAATCATTCTGGATCTGTCTCTTTCTGCGTGTGATGATCAGGTCCATGGGACTTTTGATGTTTCATAAATAATGATGTGAACACGCAGCACTTGGATAAAGCTTAAGTTTACTCGTTTTATATTCCTTGGAAATGTGATTCTTCTAAGGCGCCATCCAGACAGGAGTAATCCGAGGCTTATTCTTCTCAGCAAAAACTATCTCTAGGAGATCCATGGGGTCTGATTAAGGCAAAACTTAATAATTTCAAGAAAATCCACTGTAAAAAAATACAAGCACATTCTAGAAGAGGTAGATTATATTTAAAATATTTCATAGCCATATTTTATTCTTCCACATAAAATATGTTGTTGCTATTGTTCTTTTTAAATTTTTATTTTAAATTTTAAATTTTATTTATCAAATCGCCGTGATTCTGATTCTCAGACACCCTTAAGCTCCCAATAGGTCCCCACCGCTCCATCATGCAGAGTAATGTTTCACACAAAAAGTTTATGATCGCTTTAATTAGAGAAAGAAATGCAGATGATCAATATTGAGAACAATGGACAGATAGATTTACACAGTGAAAACAGGCCCCAGACAGCTCATATCACGGGTAGCACTTTTCAAGTAGACATTTATACATTCTCATTATCTGGGGATCCATCACTTAGCCTGAAACAAACATGAATAAGGCATAAGGTTTCCTTACACCTTATGGACTTTCAACAATGCAGAAATGCCAAATCCTAGTTATCAGCAGTCTGTCCAACTTACTGAAGAGACAGTTACTCGTGTCCACATTTGAATTGAAACTCTAGGGCCGATTAGCTCAAAAATGCTTTATCTAGTTCTGCCTTCGTAGTGCACAGCCTGTAATATCGCTTCCCCACGCCCATGCCCATCCATCTCTGCATCTCGGCAGTCAGTCATGGATAAAGGCTGGCCTCAGCCCGGGCCCTCCCAAAGGCCTCACTCCCCCTGGTTTCTCACCCCCATGCGAACCAGGAGTTGAACCAAGGGTTCTGATGCTGTGTCTGCTAGACAAGGACCAAACTGATGGTCTCAGTGTGTGTATCGCAAACCATGATGCCCAAAATAGAGAGAGAGTATGGGGGAAATTGTCTTCCATAGAGACAGGGGGAGGGGTGGCGGGGGGGCTATTCTGGGGACATGGGTGGTGGAGAATGTGCACTGGTGGAGGGATGGGTGTCCGATCATTGTGTGACTGAAGCTCAACCATGAAAGCTTTGTCACTGTTTTTCATGGTGATTGCATAAATAAAAACTTAAGGTGAGCAACAAAACAAAAACAAACAAACAAACAAACAAGGTTCTGATGCTCTTGGCTTCTGGGTGTTTCCACTCCACCTCCCCTTCCCTTGACTGTCTTTTTGACGGTGGGAGGCTGCTTATACTTTGGGGATCACAGTGTCTCGTTGCAGTGCTCACTGACTTCTCCTCCAAAGCCCGGGAACTGCTGGGGTTGTATCTGGGCATGGGGAACCTCACCTGGAGCTGAGCTCCTGACCTGCTGCCTTCAGCTTGCAAGGCAGACATTCTCCAGATGGGCAACCCCTGGAACTTTGATTTATTTGTTTTTTCCTTTGAGTGTTTGAGCTGCACCCTATGGTGCCCCGGGCTTACTCCTGGCTCTGGAATCACTCCTGGTGGGCTTGCGGGACCGTATGGGGTGCCAGGAATCCAACCTGAGTCAGCCGAGTGCAAGGCAAGTGCCCCACCCCATAGGCGACCTTCCTGTGCCCTTGTTTGTTTGACACTCCAGGGTCATTTAAAAACCACAGTGAAAAATAGCAATCCTGAGAACTTTCACAAGAACCTTGGAACTGCAGTCCTATTTAGAGTAAATGTTGGGGGCTGGAGTGATAGCACAGTGGCTAGGGCGCTTGCCTTGCACGTGGTCGACCCAGGTTCGATTCCCAGCATCCCATGTGGTCCCCTGAGCACCGACAGGAGTGATTCCTGAGTCCAAAGCCAGAAGTAACCCCTGTGTATCGCCAGGTGCGACCCAAAAAGCAAAAAACAAACAAACAAAAAGAGTAAATGTTCTGGGTCTGGAGCTATAGCACAGCAGGTAGGGCGTTTGCCTTGCACACGGCTGACCCGGGTTCGATTCCCAGCATCCCATATAGTCCCCTGAGTACTGCCAGGAATAACTCCTGAGTGCAGAGCCAGGTGCATTGCTGGGTGTGACCCAAAAGACAAAAAAAAAAAAAAAAAAAGGAAATGTCCTTCAGTCTTCACGCTGTCTTTCCCCTTTCCTTCATCCATTCCCGTTCGTGCAACAGGACCTGGCACACAACCCGTCGTCATTTCGCATGCAGGGAAGCAGCGTTGGAATAAACCGCAGGGGACAGGAGACTTGTGGGTCCTAAGCTGCGGTTCTTGGTTCTCGGTGTGCGTCCTGGGCTGGCGTGTCTCTCTCCCACACAGGCCGGGGCCGCTTCTGGGTTTTGTTCCCGTTGTCTCATCTCCGTCCTCTCCTCCTGCCAAGTCACCTCTCGCATCACGGTTCCTCTGAGCAGACTTCTCTTGTTCATTTCCACGAATCCCCCCTTGGTTCTCCATCTGCCGGTGTAGATGTCCCCTGGATTCTGGGCTGCCTTTGCCAGCTTTCCTCCGGGGCAGTCACAAGGCTCTCCTCTCCCCTCAGACTCTGCGGCTTGTGCG